GAACCAGCTTCTTCTCGAGCTGCCACCTGTCACGTGTTACAAATCAAGTTCGCCGGTTGATCACAATCTGGCAGACTCTATCATCGAAAACATGATCAACATGAGGCATGTTGGTGCTTGTACCAAAGGCCGCAACAGGGGACGCTGCGCGGTCCGCCGCAATCGCAACCATGAATCCCCACAGCCCATGTCGGCCTCTGCCTTGATTGATGCGATGCACCCGTGCCGGCATCTCCGACCTTTGGCGGACCGTGTCAAACACTCCATGATCCTTGATGTTGCGCGCAACGAACCCCAAAGGATTCTCGCGATCCGCCGGGTCAAAAACTCCAATAGCGTATATGGCATATCCGTTCCCCAAATGCTTGCGAAGCACAAGCTCCTGGCCGGGTCGAAGCTTGCGAATGCATTCCTGACGGCCTTCGAAGATGACCCCTACGGCTCGAAAAAGCATGCACCCATCCGGAAGTTGCTCCATCGTTGATATATCCAGCTCCCATACTGTCACCCTAAGTACATGCGCGACACGCGAGCTAGAAGGCGTGGCTGTCGGGGTCATCACGGTTGTCATCTATGATCTTTAGAAAGGGTTGTAAGCGACTATGACAAATAGTCAAAAGTTGCCTCTCAATATTGAACAATCAAGTAGTAATGGTGCAAGTGTTGACTAGCATGTGAGTATGTCGGCCATTACAGCCTGCATCTTTATTCAAATCCGTGGTCCGGGCTCATGATGGCATCTAGCAGTCAAGATGATTGCCTTCAAGCATAAGCTTACACATTCCTGATCACTCATATGCAAGTACGACAATTTTCATGATGTACACTGTCTTCAGTGATATTGAATGGCGCAATGCTCGGAATCCAGAATCCCCTTTTTAACACAAGCAATGGTGCAACTTTTTACTTTGTAAGTAAAAAAGTATCACTACAGTCAACAGCTCCTCAAAATGTTCTGAAAAAAACGGCGCCAACCCTTTGCTTCAATAATCAATAAATCATGATTATCACTTCTGCACTAGGGTCCTCCTCGTACCGACCAGCACCCGAAGCTACTTCTACGTGCGTATCATGCATCTCTCTATCGGTAGTGCCGCCTCGTACTCATCGAGCTGACCGTACTTCTCTCGCACTTCCTGCCACAATAGCGGCTTGAAAAGGTGGGGCCGGCCAGCAACAAATTTCCCGTTGGACTTCTTTGGTGCGACATGGTTGAGCCCGAGGCCTACGTGGAGAATCTTCTTGATGGCATTACGCTTCATTGTTGCTGACAGGTCCCGAGCCGGCTGGTCTATCCCGTAAAAGTCGCGAACGAAGCTGAGCCGCTCAGGCGTTGGCCCGAGCACCGTGTCGTGGATCACTTGCAATGTATCCTCCTCCACCGCAAACCCATCCTCTTTACACCTTTCCACTTCCCCTGGCTGGCACCCCAACAGAGCTGCCAGAAGCATCGCGGCAAAGGGCACCCGACGCGACATGTCGCCCCTGGCAGCGACGTACTCCTTTGTGACGCCCTCCATGTCACCTTCCTTCAAGGCTCTCGTAAGCTCGTCCATGATGTCAAAGAAAGGGGTCGTTTGAAACCTGTCAAGGAAAGCCATTAAAGAGTCACACAGGGTGTTACACTCCAACAGCAGCTGGGTCGCATCCAAACCATCCGTTCCTCTCCCTGTGCGCACGCACATGATATCGTCAGTATGAACTAGAGCCTGCAGAAAGCTTGATCACGAAATCTGCTTGCGTCTGGTCCACCTCGTGTTTGCCAGATGACAAGTTGACTCCTTGCATTTAGCAGTCATATGGCGTCACTCTTACAACAGCTGAAGAATGCAACCGACATCTTTTTGCAAGGCGCAGAGAAAGATGGCAGAGACGATTGAAAGCCCAAAATGCAAAGAGGCAATGCTTAGAAGCGTTGATTGCTTGGAACAAGCAGAGAAAGATCTCGCACTTGATCTGACAAAACGGTGAAAAGACCAGAGCAGAATCGATTCGACCAAGTCACAGCTTGCTTCTATTCGGCCCTCACCTGATGTAGTTCTGGTACGGAACGAGCTCCTTGCCGCAGTGCACCACCTCGTAGTTGTGGTCGACCCGACGAGGATCAACCTTGTGCACATTGCGGATGCACTCATAGATATGTTTCTGCCGCACCTCCACCTCATCCAGCGTGTCGATTTCATCTTTCTGGAGGAGTTTGCCATACGCCTCGTCATCGACCACATACCTGGCCCGCCAAACATCGTCGGCAAGATCTTTGTCGTCGTCGTTGGCCACTCTGCGCACCTGAACGGATGGGGCTTTGTCGTCGAGACAGACCTCATTGACGACAAAGCCCTGCTTGATGAGGTCAGCGCACAGGAGCTCCCGGTAATTCCGGAAGCTGTTGGCGACCGTGAGGATGTTGTTCGCGTACAAAACGCAGCTGGGGGAGTTCCTGTCACAGACTGGCCGCATTCCCGAGGGGGCCAACAGAAAGTCCAGATGCTCGGTGCTGCCAAGCAGCTTGGCAAGCTCGCGATCGTCATCTTCGATCGCGCAGAAGACGTCCTCAACGGTGGAAGGAAGCCATTGGGGGCCCGCGCCTTCCTTCACATAGATCGTGAAGTCGGTGACAGTGCGATCGCGGAAGAGCTGCTGGAGGAACGTTTCGACGGTCGGACCGCGCTCGAAGCTGTTCATCGCAAAAGCGATGAGCTTGTCGAAGTGCGGCCGCTCTCGCGAGATGCCAGGGCCGATCACAGGCGAGGAGGCGCACAGATCTGCCGTCATGTGAGTGTCGGGGTCAGTAACCGCCAGCTCGAGGGCGTCTTTCGCCGCTTCCGTCGTCGGCTTGGAGTAGAAGAACTTCCCCGACTTTGCGGTCGGGCCGTCGCTCGGGAAGCGCTGCTTGAAGGCTTCCTCAAGCTTGAGAACGTATGTCTTGCTCGACGAGGGTGCCTGCAAAAAGGTAACGTGCGGATTGAGAATCTTGTCGACATTCACAACATCTCGGGCCTGTTTGTGGTTCGTCTGGTCCAAGACATTCGAATGAAATAAAAAGAAAACACAAGGCACTTACAAGCGTTAGCATCGATAGACTCATTTCAGGTCGGTGAAAGCTAGACGCAGCATCAGTATTTGGAGATCCATCAAGGTTCGACAACGCCTCCTTTCCGCTAACTGACAGCTGCTCCACTTCAGAGAGCTGCCACGTCACCACAAACGAATTGCTCCCCAGAAATCCTCCCTTCTCAGAAGGTTTGGGACAGTCTAACGTATATTTCCTGGAAGAGAGCAAATCCGTGGCGTAAATCGGAACCCTGTTGCGCATACGGCAGCACAATGGTTCCGTTGCAGGAATCTGTCGCGCAACAGACTAAGCCTTCGCTGACTTTGACCAAAAAGGGCATACAGGCCTGCCGTTCCTTTTGCTAAAGCTCTGCAGAATCAAAACCTTCTGGATTCAGCAACTGCCATGTCAGTAGACTCCGATTAGGCCGTGAGGGTAGAGCAATCCTGATGGTCTTTTTGGGCGTCTACTTCGAATGCTTTCAGTTTCACCAGAACATTTGAAAGAGAGAAACAGAAGCGAGCGTCAAGAGTCCCCCGTCGATCTAAAATAAGCAAAGGTGGATGGGGCGTAGACTACTGGCACGAACTAGAAGCACATATTCAAATCCTCCTCGGGCTCTAGAGGTGAGGAGCGGGGTAAAAGTTCGTTTGTGCTCTTGCGCCACAAAGGGGTCAGTGGGTGCTAGGAAAGACTCACTATTACGTGCTCGCCTCTCTGCAGGCAGGCCATCGTCTCAGCAATGGTCGGGCCGTAGGGGTCCTTCTGGAAGCGCATGGACGCGGGGATGTACTTGATTGTGGCCTTCCGTTCACCTGGGTACACCCCGCGGTTGCGAATCGTGTGCAGAGCAGCATCTGGCCGTACCATGTGCAGCCACTGCATGACTCGGGGGCTGCCGATGTTGGCGTCCATGCCAAGCACGATCTTGGCGTGCCGCGTCGCCCCTTCCAGCGCCAAGAAGACCCTCTTTTTGCAGGCCATGACGTCCGAGTTCATGTTGGACAGGATCATGTCCATCTCGTCCATGATGACCACGTCAAAGCTCGCAGCTAGCCTGGGGAGGGAGTTTATGCAGACAACGACCCTTTCGTCGTTAATCCTTCCAGGCAGATCGAGGTAGAGCGTGGCCTCGATGCCGTGCCGCGCCAGATCCTCCGCATACTTGCGGGCGAGCGTGACGTTGGCCGCGACCATGACGAAGTTTGCAAACTTGAATCTCTGTAGCAGCCTCTCCAGCCAGCCGTTCCCCTCCTTCGACTTCCCAATTCCCTTGTTGGCCGCCGCCAGGATCGTGTTTTTGGCGGGGGAGTCGATGGAGAAGAGCGGATAGGGGCGCATGCCGTCCACCTTGACGTAGTCCTCCGTCCAGCCCGTGATTTGCCCCGTCTCCAAATGGAGAAGACGTGCAACTCCGCTACACAACGAGAGGGTACACGCTTTAGCTCGAAGGGTAATTCTCAAACGGAAGGGACGGTCGGGCTTGCTTGCGAGTCAAAAGTGTCCACCTGGAACGCTCACGAGCGACAAGGTATGGTCGGGCTTGCTTGCGAGTCAAGAGTTCCCACCTGGAAGGCTGCAATGCTTATATCTGGACGGGAAGTTTTGACTGGTCCGCGCTGCCACAGAGTCTCACGAGCGACAAGGAATGGCCGGGCTTGCTTGCGAGTCAAGAGTTCCGCCGTGGAAGGCTGCAATGCTTATGTCTCGACGGGAAGTTTTGATTGACCCACGCTGTTAGTCCCGAAATCTCGTGAACGACCAGGAATGGCCGGGCTTGCTTGCGAGTCAAGAGTTCCCACCTAGAACGCTGCAATGCTTATACTTCGACGGGAAGTTTTGACTGATCCATGCTGTTAGTCACGAAATTCTCATGAACGACGAGGTATGGCCGGGCTTGGCCAATCTAGTCAAAAGTTCCACCCTGAAAAGCTGCAATGCTTATACTTTGACGGGAAGTTTTGACTGACTGCCGGAATTACAGAGTGCCAGGACGAACCCTGTGACTATCGACCCTGAAGTATCCTAGCATCACCCTACAATGCTATTGACAGCAGCTGATTCGAACGCATACACTTTGGCGACTTGAACCAATATTCGACCGTCTAGCTTGGGCTCTCCATAAAAAACACGCTTCATGGACCAGACTGCTCGGTAGCTCGATATCGAACCAAATGACCACCGTCGCCTGCAATCGCTCACCTGCACGAGGCGGAGTGGCACTTGTATAATGCCACCCCGGGCCTGGACCGCCGGTAGAGCAGGTACGTGTTGTTGTTGCCCGGGGACATGTGCGGACGGCCGGCGAGGAGACACATGGGCTCCGGCACGTCGAAGTGGACCGTGAAGACCCCCGCGCCGACGACGTGAACGCGCGCGGGCGTAGCGCCGGGGTGCTCCTGCTGATAGCACTCCACCAGCACGCGCTGCTCCTGCTCACACAGGTCCGCCAAACTCTGCCCGCCATCTACCGGCTGGCCCGTATCTCTCACCCGCATCGTGGGACGCGGTGGTCGAGACAAGGTGGGCGCATGCTGCTGGAGGTACGCCTCCAGGCGCGCCGCGTCTAACTGGGCGCAGCGCTGCCGCTCCGCTGCCGAGTAGAGCCCCGCCAGATGGTCCGCAATCAGCTCCGAGCTGCCCTCGCTTGGCTCGAGGACGCGACCGCTCCCCTTCTTACTCGAACGCAGCATGCGCCAGTTCTGGAACTTGGAGTAGACCGAGCCATCCCAGATCAGTTTTGGGCGGCCCCGCTGATCTTCCGTCCAGACGAACTCGGCGCTGCGCGCCAGCTGCGGGGGCGGGTTCTTTAGGAAGTGGTCGAATGCCTTTGCAAATAGGCCCCGCGCTCGGCGGTCCTCAAGGCAGAACCCCTTGAGCACCCCATGGACGCTGAACCGGAAACCCCCCGGGACCTCTCCGTGTGCCGTGCTCTCCTCGAACCGGACCGCCTCTTCCGGTAACCCCAGAACCGCCTCCAAAAAGCCGTCCCTAAGTCGCTTGAAGTGCCGCTTCCGCTCAGCAAACTCTGCGTCCCGCGCCCTGATCACCCCCTCGGAGTCGCTCGCGCACAGGCTTGATGGCACGTAGTAGTCCAGGTCGTAGTAGAGCAGCGAGGGGGTCTCTTCGAGCAGGCACTCGTACAGGTGCTTGCTCTGGCCCCCGAGACGTGCGCAGTACGCCAGCAGCTCAGGAACGTTCTGGAAGCTGGTGAACATCTTGGCACCAGAATCTCGCGCGATGTCAGCGGCGATGAGGATGTCGTGGCCGTGGAGGGTCTTCCAGGCCACGGCGAGGTCCTTCGGGCCCCGGCCGGTCGGACTCTCCTTGCTCTTGAACCAGTGTTGGCCATAGATTGTCGTCGTGTGCCTCTGCAGAGTTCAAAGTTTGAGAAACGATCAGCGGATTGTGCAACTGGACCAGCATCGCCTTCCACATGCACGCTAGCCTAAGGATTCGTGTGAGCCTGCTTCTCAGGAACCACCACGAGTCGCTCAACTGTTTGCGCTTCTTGGCGGGAGCGCACTCAACCCAGGGTTAAAGTTGAGAGAGAAATTCCCGCCCCTTAACCAACAGGAGGCAAATACTCTACCGAAGCAGAGATGGTGTGCGAAATTGATATCGGGCAGGCCCCCATCCCAGGCAGCCTTCGACCAAAGAAGGCCTGCAGAGCCGAGCTCCTTTTTAGCACGGCGGCACAGGCTTCCCGCCACCTTCCGAAAGATGCGGTGGCCTCGCTTTGAGCTGGTGAGGAAGCCTCTGGCCGCGCTCGCCACGAGCGCTCTGATGTCTGACAGCGGGTGAGCGGCGCAGCATGGTGCGCCGGATGTGTCCTGCAAAGGGGCCAACGGAGGTACGATGCGTCAGATCTCAAGTCATGAGCGAAGGAACTAACGTGCACTCATTGTGGAGTGGAAGGTTGGTGCACAACTCTAAAGAGAGGGTGTAGGGACATATTAGGGCCAAGGCCAACCTACCCTCGATGCTACAGAACATCGGCAGCGATGGCACTGACCAGTCAAAATTTGCCCCGCAGATGTAAGCATTCGAGTCTTCTAAGAGAGAACTTTTGACTTGCAGAGCTTCAAACCATTCCGCCCCTGATCCTTGAAAACAACGCCCAGCAGTCAAAACACCCCTTGAAGGTATAAGCAGCACAGACTATCAAGACAGAACTTCTGACTGGCAGAGCTCATGGCCATACCACCCATGAACCTGAAAAAAATTGGGGCGGCAGCGCCCACGAGTCAAAAAATCCCCGCACTCATGAGTATGTTCAGGAATGTCTCGATAGAGCTTTTGACTCCTGTGGCCACCGATTCTATCAATGTTGTAAGAGGTGTCGCTGATCAGTCAAAGTTGCCCTACAGATATAAGCATTCGAGTCTTCTAAAAGAGAACTTCTGACTTGCAAGAGCCCCAAAACCATTCCATCCATGAGCCTTGGTGAACGTGTTCAGCGGCAGCGCCCACCAAACAAAACACCCCTCGCAGATACAAGCATCTCAGCCTTCCAGGATAGGAAAATTGACTCCCGGCCCAGCCGTCTTCTGAAAATGGTGTCAGCGGTGGCGCCCACTAGTCAAAACTTCCCTCGTAAATTTAAGCATATCAGCCTTCGAAAGAGAGACTTTTGACTTGTCTTCAAGGCCATCCCACCCATGATCCTGATGAACGTTGCGAGCAGTGGCGGCTAGCAGTCAAAAGTTGCCTCGTAGATATAAGCACTTTGGACTTTCAAGGCGGAACTTTTGACTTGCAATCAACCTGGCCTTACCCAAGTGCTCGCAGGACCTGTCTTGACTTCCGCGCCATCGTCTGCGCCGCCCCCCACCTCATGCACGGGGGCGACCGGGGGATTGCTCGAATTGGGCGAGACGCCAGATGAGCACTGAGCGGCTTCCTCCGCCGGTCTGCTTCCAACCTGCAGAAGGAGGGTTAGAGATAAGGACAGAAGAGCGGCAAAAGCATGCAAAAGACTGGTCTCTGCATCACTTCCCTCAACCACACTAAAGATCCTCTCGCCAACCACCGCAGCAGAACACAGCCTTGGAAGTACCTGGCACAGGGACTGCTTTAGGCATATCAGCAATGCAATTTGTCAACACTGCAAGTATGTCTTTCTTGGTCCATGCCTTGTCCCAGGACTTGACTAACCAGGCAGCAAACTCGAGCCAACAAGTCTGGTGGGCTCACCACAGAGAAAGGCAGCACTTCAGCGGTAGGAGCGCCTTTCTTGTCATGAGAGGCTGCTGACTTGTGCTGCAGCAGTATACTTGTCTCTGCCATCTGCAAGAAGTATGACCATTCAATTTCCCGCGGGACCCTCGGAGTTTGAAGGCGTATTGACGAGCAACCAATCTTGGGTGAACATTCTGATGAAGGTGGACGACAGCAATGCGACTCGCGCTCTGACAGCACAATCCTGTGAGCCTGCAACTGTGCAGGGCTGCCAGTCAAATCAGCGGATAAGCTTAGGCACGGGGCTTACCTCGAAGCCCAATGCGCGGCGCGGCTGACCACAGACTCTCCGTTTCGCAGGCAATCAACCTGCATACAGAAAAGCATTCAATGGATCATAGTCAAAGCCAACATCAGCTTCATGACCTGTCCCTGCTTGAGACCAAAGACCCGGTATACTTTTGTGCAAGGACAAACCCATGCCAGAGAATCGCACGTGCAAGCCTGACTTGCGCGAGGCTGTGAACGTGTGTAGAATCAAGCATCTAGTATGATTTTTGATGCAGGCTAGCATTCTCTGAGCGTGCGGTCGTTTCCAGAAGTGCATCCTTCACATGTCAGAGAGATACACGAAACACAAGTTACTCACCTGCGCATGTCCAGGCGTGAGAGTGCGCGATGCGCCGAGCGCAGACTGCCAGCTCCTGAGCTCCTGACAATGCTCCTCCAGAAAGTGAACTCTTTCTCTATCTGGAAATTGAGACTGGGGATCATGGAACCCCATCAGACAGAGCTCTGAACTCTGCCACAGGACGTCGGAGAGCGCCATTGGATGCCGCCGCCAATTGTGCTGAGTCACCAACTGCTGACTAGATGCTGACTCATAGAAGCATCTTCTTGCTTCTTGGGACACCTGGCAGCATATGAAGCAGGTACAAGCTCTGCCGCAGGGCGCCGCACAACGCCAGATCTTGCCAGCGCCACCTGTACTGGTGACCTGGTTTCTGAGTCGCCTTGCGAAGTTTCTAGAAGAAGCAAAGTACAGGGCACATGCCAGCAATGCACCCAGCATTCTGCCAACACCTTGAGCTGCGGCCACCTCACGCCATACTTGCAAGCTGACCATGCCTTTTGATGTCCGCCGCGCAAACTCTCATTAGCTTCAGGCTGAGAGTGGCCTGTGGCCTGTGAGTGGCCCAGATTTACCACCGACCTTCATATAGCAGGCTTGCTGTCCCTTGGCCTTCGGCGTTCGCGTCGCGATCGAGCCAGCTGAGCTTCACTGCCAGTCTCACTGCATGCTGGACGTACCGTAGTGGCACGACTCATTCACACCATAAATAGCTATTTTAGCCTTGTGTGAGGCTAGCGGCTTGATCAAGCGTCAAAAAACCCTTTTTGACCGGGTTAACAACCAAAAAAGAAAATCTCAAAATCGAGTTTTGGCAGGTGTGAAAACTGAAAAGTGGAAAAAATAATTATTCGAGGGAGGGTGGTGTGAATGAGTCGTGCCACTACGGTAGCCTCCCGCGGTGGCTATGTGGTCCAGCATTCCTATACCCAACCCGTACCGAACCTTCAGGCTTCACAAGTTGGTCTGCGCCTGAAGTAAGAAGATGGCGTTGAAGTCGCCCTTCAACGTTCCAGCGAGCTCTTGGAACCAGGAGATCTTTGAGCAGAATTGGCCCTGCATTCGGCTCAGGAGATCTAAGGATCTTCGACACAACCCGTGGGAGGGCGGCAGAGTCAAGGACTTCACACTGTTGAAAGAGATTTGCAGACTCATGCAAAGGGACTTAGAACGGTCAGCAAACGTGGTCAAAACGACTGGGGGCGAGATGAACAATCGCACCAGGACTCAAGGGCTAGTCACTCTGCTGAGTCAGTTGGCCATGCCTGATGTGGACGAAGCTGAAGGCGCTGAAGACGACAGTGCATCTTTCAAAGAAGGCGTGGATGCGCCACCAGAGGTGACTCATATGCTTGCTCAGAGGCTCTCCAACGACTTTGTTTCTTTTGGTTGGCGTAGAGGCGTTGTCTTCTCTTCGAAGGATTGAAAAGATTCATTCCAGAAAGACGCATGGATTCATGTGCGCAAGCGTCCCTTTGAAAGGAAGCTGGATACGTTCTGTTGTGAAAATTCTCAACAAGCGCATAACGTGTCATTCTCGTTGTTGAGTCAACCTCTTGCGCACCTTAGCTGAGCTTCTCACGCTTGTGCTTGCGTTTCTAGATTTTTTGACCACTTTGGCTGGCCTACAGGCAGATTGGAAGCTGCTCATTGCTTGTTGGGCCCGTGCTTTCCACGTCTAATGTCCTCCTCTAATGTCGTGGTTCATGATCCAACATTCGCAGGTCTCTGCAAAGGAGGAGCGAACTACACCCCCTGCGGCTGCTGGTGCTGGAACAACAGAGGAACAAGCAGCAAGCAAGGACGACTCACCCGGCAGCTCCAGGGGGCCGGAGTGGGAACACGAATCGACGGAAGGCATTGGACGCCAGAGCATGGACTGGCTCGCCAGTGTCATCGACAAGGCGATCAGACGAGCCGGCTGTTCGCGCAAGTATGCAACCTGTGCGAAGCTTATCTGGGAGATGAAAGCATTCCTTCTGAAGGTGCGTTCATCTTTTCCGGCGTATTGGCCATGTGCATTTGGTGAATTTGGAGGCTTATGATTTCTGATCTTTGCTCTTTCGTGAAGGACAAGTTCAGGGTGATGCAGATGAGCATGGAAATTGAGGTGTGACAACCCCTCAGCAGTTTCAATATGGTGCAGGTATCTTAGCACCTCAATGTTGCAGTTCTTTGGATGGGCCCCGCAAAAGATGCAGGGGAGAATGCAGGGCCTTAGTTGCAAAATAGAAGGTTTGCTTTGAAGGGTTCTTTTGTTCTGCTCAATATGGATTCTGCAAGCTAAAGTACCCTGATTTGAAACCCCTTCTGTCATATCATGGCAGAATTGGGCGGACGGGCCGGGGGGACGTTGGCAGCTGACGAAGTACATGGTCATCCATGCGCTGTTGAACGGACAGAAAGTGCCAGCGAGACTGTCAGCAATCTACGGTCTGTGCTTTAATCTAAAGGAGTGGGCGGGGGAGGTGTTTCAGCTTAAGGGTAAGGCCATTGGATGACTTCCAGCCAGTCTTCTCTAATTGATGTCGCAAGATGGGTCTGCCGCAGGTCTGGATGATGTGGAAGCTACAAGAGTCAGGATTGTGTGTGTGGCAGGCACTTGAGCACAAGGTCGCTCTGCCTAGCTCACTCGGTCAATGTTTCGACGATCAGAATGCATGCATCTTGAGTCGTGTTGATGTGGCGGCACTAGATAGCCTCACATTTGTGGAGGATCAGGCAACCTTCAATGGTTGTTTCTGATGAGGTTACCACTGAACTGGCAAAGCTGGTTAAGTTTTTGTTCTAGTGTTGCCCAGATTGAAGATGGTTCTCTTGGCTTAATGTAGAGCTTTTCACTGGCTGTTTTCTGCTCTCCCCTCACGTCATTGACTTCTCCACAATCGCTGCAGGCACATACAAGATAGGGGAGGACGGCTTCATCATCGAAGCGTCCCTCCTCAACTTCAGTTCCGACGACAAGGCGTGGATCAGGAAGAGAGTCGAGTGGCAGCGGCAAGTGCTGCGCCAGACGTACGATGCGAAGCCCGAGGCGAAGGTGTACCCGGTGGGAACGCTCTACAGCATGCAAGAGGTGACCCAATCTTGTCTTCATTGCTGGATCAAAGAAGGTCATGTTCAGTCACCCCAATGACTTTTTCTCAGTGCAAGGTACTCAAGAAGGAACACGGGATTGTGCTAGAGGAGAGTACATATGGGGTATAAAGTTGATTGAGCAATAAGACTTGGGAGCGTAGCACTCCTTATGACAAGATTCAACTGAATACTCTAGATCTAGAGATATTGCTTGCTTACAGGTGCGGACATTCGTCCCAGGGCATGAATCGGGGGTCAGGATCGAGCCATTGCAATTGGTTGAGGGCCTTTTGCGGTGCGCGGTTGGTGAGAGGGTTTGCGAATGGACCTGGCCTGACGTCAAGCGCAAGCTGGAGGCGGCGGAGGAGGAAGTAGAGCGGAGTATCAAGAAGAGGATGGTCATGCTAGATGATAAGGGATTGGAAGCTTCCATCATGGAAGAGTATTCTAACGAGTGTTGACCGAGTTGAAGGAGTTTGGAGTGCGGAGAGCAATTATTCAAGAGCGCAAGTTGCGTGTACGGCAACATGTACTTCGTAAGCTGAAGGTAATCATCCGGACGTCGTGAGAATCTGCTTCACGAGCTCTTGCCATACATCAATGCAAGCGAGACAGCAGCTTAAACCACTTTCTGCTCTTTGCTAGTTTCGTTTGCATAGGTGCCCATTCTTAGCGTCGATTACTGGGCCACGCTAGCAACCTCAGTCGGATTGCAGTAGATTGAAGCGAGCTTGGTAGTAATGATGCATTGAACATGCTCAAGGGGCCTCGCTTTGCGCCCTCAATACAGGCACAGGATTCAGCAGTGCAAATTGGTTTTCGAAATGAAGATGAAACCCACGAACGGGGGAACAACCACATGTCCGGTTTGGCATACAGATGTATGTCCCATGCAGTGATTATGTTGCCCCAGCGATTCTTGCGACTAGGCGTGCTACAGCCAATTACCAAATACTTACTGAGTGCTCGGGTCATCCCATCAAGTACCTTCTCATTCTTGGGTCTGCACTCTTGGCTCCACCATACTCAGCATGAGGGACTGCTTTGTAATTCTTAGGATCGGATTGATTGAAAGGCTCACTTAGGATCGGATTGATTGAAAGGCTCAGGCTTGAACTCTGAATTGGATGGGAACAGGACGTCAGAGCGCGGTGAGGGTAAATCTAGTGCCTGGCCCTCAGTCGCGCATGCCAGGCCTTTAAAGCGGATGGCTTATGTGATAGGCGAGTCTCCGCATGCCAGTGAGTTGGATGGGAGTCGTTGTAAGGTCGCGCCAATCGGCTCAATCAGTATATACACTCATTGCATGTGCAACACACAATGCCGCCAGCCATGATGCATGTGCAATGTGCTGCCAGGCTGTGACTGCGCGGCCGGGCCGGGCGTACGCAGATGGTACCCCGAGGAGCATACCCGGCGCTGCTACAAATCTCACATGTATGCACGTGGCCCGCAGCTCGTGCATGCATGCATAGTTGTGAGCTGCAAGAAGATAAGGTAGATCACTCGTTGTTGGCTGGAGGTGCGCTAGGGGTATAAGTGCATAGGAGCTTGGAAAATTCCAATTCATGTTCGCTTTCTCTCAGAAGTGTATGATCCATATTGGCTACTATGCCTCCCCCCGTAGGGGGGTGGCGCAGCCAGACTACACTGGTCACACATGCCTGAAAAGTAGGCAAAACAATAAAACAATAAAACAATAAAACAATATCACACTAAACAATAATCGCTAGCCAGGCCGCCGGGTCGGTTCGCCAGAAAACTCCGCCACCAGCCGCCTGGATTCACCGCCGGGTGTTTGTCCTGGCAGCCTGGCCGGCCTGACCAGCCCAGCAGGTAGTGCGTCACGTGGCAATTGCCCGACCAGGCCACTGGCAGCCCCGGCCGGTACCCGGTAGTGTGACCGACCCAACTTTTCCAGCCGAAATTAATTACCATCGGCGACCGGGTCCTGCGTGGACTTACAAAAAGCATGTGTGACCAGTGATCATTTGGGGGTCAAATCCGCCGTATGGCGCCGCTTTGGGGGGCCCGCGCACGTGCCCGGTTTTGGCTGCGTTCGATTTCGATAACGTACAGTGCGCCGGTGCCCATCTGCCCGTGAGTATTTTCGTACCGGTCGCCAGGTTTTCCGTCGTTGGAGCCCATGCATGACTCAAGATTGCATAGAAGGCCCAGGCCCGAGATCGCCAGGGAGTGCTTTCAACTGCAAGAGCCCAGCATGAGGAGGCTCCTTTTCTGTGAAAGTCAGCAGAGAAAGTGGAAAAACGGAGGGATGTAGCGCTCGATTATGTGGGTTAGAAAGAGTGCAAAAGGCTGCTCTAAATCGGTAAAAACCGTCACAGAAGCGTTTCATTCAGGAACGGCAGGCTCGATGCCTATGCAAGACCCAATACACAATATTTCCGGGCGGGCAGGGGTCTCGTAAATGGTCACAAGGCGGCAACGGTCTGGCTCTGCGTGGTAATGGTCGGGGCTGGGGACCTTCCTGGAAGCTCCGGGCCCTATGGCCGATAGCTTATCCGGCGGGCGAGCACCCAGGAGGAGTTGGGGGGAAATGCAAGGTCGCGCCAACTGGCTGTCACGGTCCGGGCCGCGCCGGACGCGGCCCTCGGCGAGTCGCCTGCGGCCCCGGCGCCCCACCGGGGTTTGCGCGCCCGCTGCCAGCGCGGCCTGAGTGTATTTAGTGCGCGCGTAAACGACCTTGGCAGGGCCGTGGGCACATGCCGGCAGCCAAACATGCGGGCTACTGAAAATACGTTTCGTCGTCCATATTCTGCTGACAATCCGAATCCGACGGCTCCAAAAGTTTTACTCCTCCGAAGATTTGGGTATCTGTCAGACAAACTTCTATGGGTCACATGGCCACCACGTGGATGTTTCTGGAGCCTGGAACGGTTTTGGATTCTTTGATTGGAGCAAAGCCTGCCAATCAAGATTCTCAGCAGTAGTTGACCATGCCCAAACCAAAATGGTATGTTCTCAACCTATCTTCTAACCAGTGAGCCACCACCGGAAGGAATCGAGGGAGAAGTAGGTGGGTTAGTGGTCCCGACAGCCAACTCGTAACCAGCTACCGTAGGTCAGCTCACCCTATTTGGTTCAAGAAAGTCTATAATGATTACAAGTGCGCCAGAACCCGCCTGTGGGCCCGGTTGAAGCCCGCAGAAGCGCAGTCTTTTCGTCATAGGTACGACTCCGAAGTCAAGCCAAAAGATTGAATCATCAACCGGGCAGAAATAGGGGCGACCAAAAACATGCCTAGGTATGCGGCGCCGTGCCAGGTGCCCGCTGTCGGGGATGCCTGACGCAGACGATCACCATCTTGACGAGGCAGACAAGCTTGGAGCCAAGCAGCTCAAGTCTGGCGCTCGTGGCGCTCGTGTGACGTACCAGCCTGCTTCCAGACACAGCCAATCTGCTCAAAAGGAGAAAGATTTGTCGAAGGGAAGCTTCTGAAGTTTGGAGATTGCAAGGTTGAAGGAACGCTGTTTGGTGGCTGCTTCCCTGGCAATAAAGCAACGGCGTCCCGTAGAATGTCGGCATCTGCGTTGGCCATGCCTGGGAACTCCTTGGGGGTGGCGGGGTCTGCGGTAATGACTGCCCTGCATTCGAGGAAAGGCGCGTCCTCTTCATCCACGTACTTTGGGAATGGTCTAGAATCCTATGCCTCGTCCAGGATGGAAAAGCTGTTGGGTGGAGGCGCACCAGTTGGGATCCACTCGGCGTCGTCCAGCGTGTCAGGGGCCTCTGACATGGACGGTCCAGCGGAGTCTTCTAGTGGGGGGGAGTTGAGGGAGGAAGATGTTTGGGCGACCGAGGCGCGGGATTGGCAGCAGGAAGGGCCCGTTGCCAAGGGGCTGAACTTTTCAAAAGATGAGCGGACCGGCATGCGATTGGTTTCTAGACAGCCGCGGTGGATGGGAGCACGAGAACGGGACCTGGGATTGGCTTCCTGGAACGACGAGAATACGGTTAGCAAGCACAGGACGACCCTGCTTTCCCCCTTCCGCAGCTACGCAAACGCCTCTCCGCAGCGTATTTTTGGCCAGCCAAGCACGGGGATGCGCATGATCCCCACCAGGGGGGACCATTCCCAGCCAATGGTGCAGCAGTCGGCGCCTGTGAATGTCCCTGCGTGGGGAAGGCTGGCAGAGCGGGACGAGAATGGAAAGGTCAAGGATGATAATGACTCAGATGATGAGGAGCTGGGAAGGATTGTGCCTCCCCACGAGCTGATTGCTCGGCAGAATGCGGAGAGCGGGGTGGTGTTTTCAGTGTACGAAGGCGCAGGGAGGACGCTGAAGGGGCGGGATGCGAAGAAGGTCAGGAATGCCGTGCTCAAGCAGACGGGGTTCTTTGATTGATCAAGCAAATTATTGAAGACAATTTAGGTTTCAGTCAAACAGGGAGGGGTGCAGGAACAACTCAATCTGCAGCACAGTGCCTGATCAAGCAATGCGAAAGGGGGTAGCCTTAGGCGAGGCGGCAGATGCGCAATGTAGACGTGTTGGAAGATCTGTGCAGACACTCTGGAAATCAGCAGCGCGGTTGACTCTGTTGGTTCTGGAGGGCAGCAGTCTTGGTTCTCGTGTATCAGTAGGCAGTTGTTCAAAGAGCAGCGTGTACATGTATGATCAGGGGCATCCAATTTTAGGACAACTAGGAGCGCCCCGGTGTTTGTGGACTTAGAACGAGAACTAGTCTGAGAAACAAAATTTACGCCAATAAACAGGTGCACGCCTTAATGCAGTAACTCCAGGTGTTTCATGTTCTGATGCAATGTGCGTCCATTCATTTTGGCATTTCATAATTCCCTTTGTCTGCTGGGCTAAGAGGACATTAAGGGTTTTTTGGATGCGGGTTGCGTGTCATGGTGGCAAATCAATGAACATTCTGATGCCTGGCTCCTTGCCTTGGGCTTTGCGTCTGCTGCATTGCTGGCAATTGTTGCCTGTTGGTGGTGCTGCTTTGTTTTCCTGTCAGGCAATGTTTGCTCGCCGCGAGTCCAATCTGGTGCCATTCTGTAGATTAGATTTACCAGTCAACTACAATGTAGTGATCTGAAATGCTGCACAGCAAACCTCTTTCAATGCGCAATTTTCTTGATGATGGAAGATAAGTCTCTTGTGCAATGAAGACTTCTTCGTTGTTCTTGCGCGTGCATTTGGATCATGAGCCGTGTTCTGGTGTTGGGATCTTTGTTTGTTGATCTGATTGATCTTGATAATACAATCCGAATATAGCTAGTCCTTTGATAAAAGTTCTTCACGAGTTTCTTTTGGATGCACGTATCTGTTCTTTCTCATAATCACTAAATTCTGAACATGCCATCGAGTGTTGAGGAATAGAGCCAGATGGATCGATGCAATAATGTTGAACAGCCGCATGTTATACAGCTGTGCTCTGTCTCAATGCGTCATTCTCGTATGTAGTCCCATGTAAGCAGAGTTGTACAGAAACCGACCTCAAATGAGAGCTACAGCTAGATGAGTCACAGATGCATAATCAGGCCGGACTCATGTATGGCTGCTAGAGCATCTTCGCAATAGAAGACTAGCATTTGACGGCCATAATTCAGCCACAAAGACACCAATCATGTACGCCCATTGCATGAGAAGCATATGGCCTATATTTGGCTACGGCGTACTTGAAAAGAGACCATCGAAACAGGAAGATGGTATATGTCGGTTCATCGACCGAGCAAAACCTCGTACGATGTGGACATGAACATCACATGTGTGCCTATATGCGGCTTCAGTGTATCATGCAAGGTGTTCTATACACAGCGTCGCGACAGAGGACATCTTGTGGTTCCTTCAATTCGGCAATATGCGTATCATTCATTTGATGACAGCAGGCGCTTGGTGAGAGCCCATGGACATACTGCTTCACCAAGCATTTGTGGGACCCTCGAGTCCAGGACACTGACTTTGATTTGCTGGACACGGGGAGGATGTCGTGAACCGTATCATTGAGCCAATCCAGATCGTCCTTCCATACCCGGCACAATTCACAAGAATGCAGATCCTCAAACAGCCATTCCTGCAACTGCCACGTCACTCGGGGCCGCTTCAGCGCGTTCGAGTGCCTCTTCTTCCACCGCTACAGCTGGCGCTTCCTCCACAGGCTCGGTAGTGGCGATTGTGTCCGCAGCTGGATCCGCCGCATCGGAGGGTCCTTCCGAAGTGTGTGAAAAACCGAGGCGGTCGAGCATGCAGAGGACGTCCGCCTGCGAAGACCAAAAGCATTGTGAGGGGCTAAGGAGTGAATTCTCTCTCTGATCATCGTTCTGACGGTGAGGAAACCAAGGATGCAGAACGCAGACCCGCCGTGCATACGGTCGTTCGCTGCAGCAACGTAGTCACCGTCATTGTCCTCCAAATCTGAGCTCAAGCACAGTCCACAAGGAGTCGAGGGCGCTCCAACGCACACCAGAACCTGTCGCTCGGATCCAAAGCTTACAACCGGGGCTTTCTGAATCAACCCCAACTATGGCTTGCCCCACTCTCAAACGTCCCTCTTTGCCTTGCACTTCGATTTCCAAGAATGCACCAATTGCTTAATCACAGGCAAACCACCCTATAGGCCAACAACACATCGAGATCCACACAAACTCTGCTTCCTCGCTGTCGAAATCTGCCCCCAAAATATAGAAACCCGCAGAGATTCACATTTTCACCAGCTGTGGTGTGAATGCCCACCTTGGTGACCAGAACGTTGATGCTGTTGGCCCCCCTCCAGCACGCAACGGCCGCCGGGGGCGCGTCCCGGGGCGTATTCTCACCGGCCGCCCGCCGCATCGCCATGATGACGCACCCCGACTGCGCCTGCTGGAGTGCCTGGACGAGCTCGGGGTCCTTGAAGCTGCAGAATCAGTAGCGCTGGTCAGTTGTGAGGGCTGAGAGCAGAAGATCGATTCTACAAGCGAAAAGAATTTCTTTTCATCCTTAGTTTGTACTAGGAGGCTCTGGTTAGCTGTCGGGGCTGAGAGTAGACAACCGACTCTGGACAGACAATGGACTCTAGAACGCAACCTGGTTCACTGGAAATGCAGGATTGTGCAGCAATCACTGTCTGAATCAAGTCGAGCCAAACCGACTAGTGGGTTGGGTCGACCAGTCACTAACGATCCTCTCCCTTGCAATCACAAAACGAACGCCTCCGCAAAAGGTGTTGCTGAAGAAACGAACCTAGCCTGACAATTGCAGAGAGATGATGAAAGTTGAGACAGGGGTTTGTGCGATTGCTCACCCCGTAAGAGGAACGCTCCGCTTGCTCAGGAACATGTGGAAGTCTTCGGCGTCAGGGTAGACAATCTGACGCGTGATGTACGGGAGGGCAAACTGCACAGATATAGGGAAATGGTCCTTGGTTTCAAGTCCCCCGATCCGCAGATCTGGTCTCTGGTGGCATGTGCAAACGCCGCTGGTTAACCGGACTCACCTTGCGCTTCCCTGCGGCATAATAAGGCCCGACGAAGGCAGAGAACAAAGGCCACTTACTGCAAATGAGGCTCTTGAAAAGGGCGGCCTGAAGAGGCAAACTCGTGTCACTCTTACTTGTCGCTCAAGCGGAATCTACTTGCCGGATCGAAGCTCGACATTCGAGCATAGATTACAGAACAATTGCCGACATTGTTGCTTCAGACGGTGGCCCTATGAAAGCAGAAAGGCTGTCGTCGAGACCACAAGATGGGAAAAGGGCGAATCACGACAATGTGACTCTCAATGCTGTACACCAGTGAGACACCCGGCGAGCTCCTTTGGCTGCCCCGAACAGCTTCGCCCGTCCCCAGTGACGCTGACGAAACAACTTCAAAGTGCCTTGGTAAATGCTGTCCAAAAAGCGATCTCAGAAAGACACGCTATGTTGAGCGCCCGTCGAGAGGGCGGGGCTTACCGGGAGCCCTTCCAGTACGATGCGGTATGCACAGGAAACCGAGGCGTCCTTCACCGTCTGCCGCTCAAACATCTGCGAGAAAGAAAAGGGAACGCTCAGTAAAAAGAAGGCCCGAACCTGTCAAGCCTTCTACGAGATGGGCTTCTGCACTCTGGACTCAAAAGCAGACAATGAGCATACAGCTGCAAGATCGGAGTTTTGAGAGACCGAGTCCTTGCTTGGGCAGATTGTCGGACTCCTTGCAAGACGACGAAGCGGCTCAACAGGCCGATCTTTCGCGCTCTGAGCACCTTCTACAATTGCAAGAATTGCCGTGAAAGTCGCTGTTCTCGCAAGACAGAGCGGGTCTCGGAGTGAAAGAGAGCTATCCAAACAGACGTCTCGAACGAATCATGATGACGTACCTTGGTCCCCACTGAGGTAATCTTGATCGGGTTCCCATTCGCGTTGTTCAGTCTAAGGATATCCAGCAGCTGCAAGGAAAGAGAGAAAAGAGAAGTTGAACTTTTATTAGACAAAATTTTCTTCTCTTTGCGGTGCTCTGAATTAAAAAAAGGCGAGAAACAGACAGGCGGACTTCTAAGGCTTCAAAGATGACTTACGGACATGCGGTTGACAAGCCTGGGAATGACGCGCTCCTTACACTTCAAAGCCCACAACTAGGTCGGTTATTTTCTGGCGGGCACACAATCGACAAACGGGTCAGGTGCTGAAAATTGCAAGAGCGCTGTCCTTCTGACCAGTATGGTATACCAGAAGATTCTCGTATGCATCTCTCGTTTGCAGATATGAATCCCCAGAGCGGGAAAGTGGGCTCCAGATTTGTCGAAGGTGACACAAATCCATCCGGTGCCGTCTCCAGATTCTCGACATAATCATGGGCTGATAGGATGCGGTCTTACGCTCTTGGAGACGTAGTAGATCCGCTTGCAGGTCGCCATGTCGTCGCTCCTCGTTATGAGCTGGGTCTGGTAAGCGAACTCCTGCACACGAATTACAGATTAGTCAGCATCTCCGCAGGCACCTGTGATCGGGGACGGATCAAGAACGCTTGAAAAAACTTGCAGAGTGGCGAAGGAGGAGACTTGCAAGGCTGGAGACCACAAGCAGGGGTCGGATGTTAGTTGCTTACAGTGACTGATATGTCCCACAATTGGTTTCAAGCTTCACACTTTTCTTAAAGAAACCAGGGTTCAAAGGTTACGCTGCTTCGTTCTTCCGACAATCGAGACCTGACGGACAAGGTAGCACTCCTGGTCAGGCAACCTCCTCTCTCCTATTACTCAGCTGTGTCAAGTCAAGAAGATGCGTAGGATAACCTCATGAACGCACTAGCTACCTCTTCAACCCAGACTTTTCCCCCAGGCTGACCAGGCTCAAAGACACCGCTCGGACCTAGAACCGACTTGTTTGGAAAGCGGAAGCCTGAACCAGAACTAACGGAGAAAGCATCGATATCCGAGAAAGGAAGAACATTTATCTGACAGTGCAGCCCACCTCTTTGAACCCGTAGTAGCTCCCCAAGCTGTCCAGCACTTCCTTGTTGTCCAGCTCCAACACCGGGTCCACCCCCCGCCACCGTCCCTGCTGCTGAATTCTCCGAACCCCGTGCCGCGGACCAGAACCTTGGTTTTGGCCCCCGCTCGGGCCCGCACCCCCCCCTTCTTCCGCTGCTAGTTCTTCCCCCCTGGGAACTTCTTCCGTGGCGGGGGGGGCGTCCTCCATCTCCAAAGGCTCTGCCTCCGGCCCCCCTGCTTCGACGGCTGAACCGTCCACTTCGGCGCCCAAACCCTGCTCCAAACCCTGCTCCAAACCCTCTTCCACACCCGTCCCGTCTGTCGCTAAACCGTCTCCCGCATCGTCTTCCTCGCGGATCGCCGTTGCTGCTTCCGTTTCCGGTGCTTCCGTTTCCGTTCCGCCGTTCTCTGCCTCGACTGGCTCAGTCTCCTCTACAGGTTGATCTTCCGGGGCGTCTTGGTCGCGCGGCCCGTCAGCTTGCCCTCTTCCCCCCCGCCCTCTTCCTCGCCCCCTGTTGCGCTTTCTCTCGCCATCGTCCACCGGCTCTGAGAAAGGAAGACGGGAAAGAAGATGATCAGAGAGGCTGCAGCTTGGTCATGGATAGAAGCAAGCAGGGCTTGGGAGATATTGAAAAGACCTAAAGTTGTATCTTTCTTGGAACTGAATGGGAGCTGGGCTCAGTAAGAACAGCAAACTTCTGACACAAAGTTAAGATGACAGAATTCAGCTTCTGGCACCGTGGGGCTAAAATATTGTACGGCTGATGCTCAACAATGAAGTCCACTCTTCATGCCGTAAGAAGCAAAAACTATCTTCAGCTCCTGAGCTCTTTTTGGAGAAATCCAGCCAGCTCTCAAAAGATACGCTTCAACTTACATACGCTTTACCTTGCAGCGAGTATCAGTACGATCCTTCAACTGAAAACCCACAACTTTTCATATATCGAAACGACCAAGTTTGTGACCGCAGTGGCAATCCTCACCCTTGGGGTACTCCGACTTGCAAAGACCAATAAATTCTGGGTAACACCAACAAACTCTGTGGACCCAATAATGCCCTCACCCTCCAGGTGCTTCAGCTTGCGGAAGACCGCCACGAAGAACCCCCCCGTGTCCTGGTCGTGCGGCACCACACGCATGCTCCGGTGCAGCGGCAGCCCGCACTCCTCCGCCTCCGGCACAACCTGTTCCCGCCACCGCCCCTTTCCTTTCCCCGAGTCCACCCCCGCATTCTCCCCTTCTCCCCCCTCATCAACCACGCCCCCTTCCACCTGTCCTTCTTTATCCGCCTCTGCCCCATCAATCGCAACCCCTTCCTCTATCGTCTCTGCTTCTCTTGATATCCCCTCGAGCGAAGCCCCCTCGCCGTCTCCCTCGGCCACTTTCGCCGCAACCTCGTCTGCCACGTGGGGTTCAGCGGAGGTGCCAGCTGGCGCGTTGGGATTGGGGAACATGGTGGGTGTGAGGCGGGACGCGCTGATCGGGAGGACTTGGCTGTAGTTGGAGTACCAACGCTTCTTGTCAAGGACGAGCCATTTGGTCAAACCGGGGCGGCGCTTCAGTTCTGGAAGCTGGGCAGAGACGTCGAGCAGCTCTAGGGAGTCGCCGTAGACCCGGAGCAACTGTACCAGGTATGCAAGGGAGCAAGGTTAGCTTTGGGACTGCTTGATGCTAGACATAAATGGAACCAGGGTGGCGGTTCAGTTCCAGAAGCTGGGCGGAGGCGTCGAGCAGCTCCAGGAAACTACCGTGAGATTGGGCCAGCTGCAATGTGAATATTGAAAAGAGGAACGATTGGATTTTGCGAGTGTCGATGCTTGACTGGGACGACGCTTCAAGCTGAACTGAAACGTCGAGGAATTCTGAGCAATCGCCTTACACATGCAGCAGCTACGTCGGCATTCGAGCCCAACAGTTTTATATGATGCATATGGGTAACCGAAGGCTTGACAGATGAAGAACTCGACTTGAGCTAGATTCCAATAGATGCAGCGATAATTGCAAGCTTAGTATACTGTACGAGGCCACTGCTGAGACGGGTGAGATTAGTCAAGGGGCCAGAATGGGTGCAAGTGCGGAGAGCTCAAGTCAAGGCCCTATTTAAACTAAGCTCTCGGTTGAGCCAAAGGCTGCATGTCCACTCGGTCGAGTGGTTTCTAAGAAGACACAACAACGCGAGTCACGTTCTGTTTAATGGCGTGTCATCGGAGCGGGTTGATGTATATTCATTGGAATCAAGCATAAATCAAGAGACTCAAGAAAGTCCGAGTACCGGAGTTTTGATTTGTTGAGGATGCTGCAAGCCACACTAGTGCAAGGTAATAGCCAAAGCGAATGATTCAGTTTCGTACCTGAGCCACCACTGCCTCGTCTTCGATTGGATTCAAGGAACACGTGGAGTACACAAGGATGCCGCCGACCCGCAGCAACGCCAGGCCCCGCAGCGCAATCTGCAGCTGCAGCCGATGGAGCCCGTTCCCACTGCCCACAGTCCTGCAAGAAATATGAAGTGGGAATAAGCGCCATAAAATCCGGAATGATTGTTGTCCAAGCCCATCAAAGGCAAGACCCTCGTTGGAAAAAAGACTCAGAAAGTTTTGGATAAACTGTGAGAGCGTGCGCAACCTTGGAGAGTAGGAGACCTCAAAGATTGTTAGACCGAGAACGCCGCCGCCCTCTAATATCCAAAATGGACCACGAAGGGAGGGAATATCGGCAGAAAACAGGAGAAAAGAACAGAAGATATGACGAGGAGATCGCCTCACCACTTGCGCCAGATGTCGGGCGCCTTGCGTAGCGTCCCGTCCCCGCTGCACGGCACGTCGCACAGGATGCGGTCGAACATGAGCCCATCGTCGCCCGCCCCCCCGCGGCCCCTCCGTCGCAGCAGCGGGAAGTTCTGCGCGTCGTGATTGGTCACCATGATCGAGGGGCTCGACATGCGCTTCGTCTGGTGGATCAGAAGGTGGCATCGCTGAACATCGTTGTCGTTTGCAACGACGAAGCCCTGGGGGGTGGCGGACGCGTCGCCAGCATGAAGCATCTCGAGCAGTTGCGCGGTTTTGGAGCCGGGAGCCGCGCACACTGGGGGAGAGAGGAGTGAGAATAGGCTCAGCCAGTAGTTCTTTTGCCCTTTCATCGAGTCAGGGCAACCGCTTCTCAAGCCTAGTGCAGAGAGTGGTTGGATAAAGCAATCTTTGTAACGGCCAGGTAAGGAATGTGTTTTGCCAGGTAAGCTGCGGTTGAAACGACTATTACAAGACATCATCATACAGAAGGCAAATATTCGTGGGGCCTTTGAATGCTCGGACACTTACTGTCCAGAACCCGGTGGTGCGGTTGGACGTCCAGAAAGAGTGGTGGTACCTGAACTAGAGCAGTTCTGTCAGTTTGAACGAGGGGAATGTCACTGCTGGATAACACGATGAGGAAGGCCCAAGAGAACCAGTCATGGCTGCTGATCCGACAAGGAACAGACAAGCATTACAATCTGTTTTGCATAAGCAATCAAAAGTACATTGCTGCATGGGCAAAGTTTCACAAATAAGACGTACCATGCTGACTGCCTCCTGTCTGGTGATGTTCCCGGCGTCGTTTTCGCGCTTCAGGAACTCATGGATGCTGCGGAAGGCCAGCAGAACAATACTGTCAGTGCAAAACGGGCACCGCTGATTCGCTCCACAAACTGACATCTCAATGATTCAGCTGCCTGTGATTTAGACTTGCTATCGAAGCAAGAGAGGAGGTGCAGATTGTGGTAGGCTAACCGATCACTGATTATACCATCCTGGGCCTTCAACCCTCACGGATGCTGTCTCTACTAGCGGAAGCTGAGCCACCAGGCTTCTCTCCTACGAAGCCACTTCCAGAACCAGAAATACAACTCGTGAGCAGTCCATTCCCTGAACTGAACCAGGCCACTGGTCTGTCGAATCTCAAGTGATTAGGGAGAATCCCCCCACAGAAATATCCCACTCACTTCTCCAGGATGTCCAGCTTCCTGAGCTGATTCCTGCTGACGCTCATGTGCCAGGCCAGGTTGTCAGGATACCAGGGAAGCGGGCGGGGCGCCTCAAACTTCTCCCCATCGACCTGAACATCAGGGAATTGACAGGAGAATTACTTCGCAAGGACTTGAAAGCATTTAGCAGGGCTCACCGTTGGATGTTGAAAGTGAGTTCCAAGTACACAATTGGCGCGCCGTAACAAAGTGAGCAGGAGTGGGGCAATGCAAATATCTTGCCAAGGGAATGCAGAGGCCATTTTAGAATATTAAAGTAGGACCTAAACCGACCAGAATGACACTAAACAAACCCTCCATACCGCTCCTAACAGCTTTCTTCACTATCTGCTTGAGAGAAAATCCAGGGTGTCACAAGCACGCACCTCGACGTCCTCAGGAAGGAAATCGAAAAAATCCTTCTGCATCTGCTCGCGAATCTGATGAGCGAAGTCCCCATGACCGTTGATCCGAAACGTCGTCGGTAGCGTCTTCTTCAGAGTAGCCATAAAGCTGTCCCATTCATCATCAGCAATGATGTGCTGTCGCTGCAATGCAGAATCCAGGATACGGTATCACATGGAGCTCAACATGAGTAGTAGTGAGCATACTTGTCAGTGATCTCAAGCACAATCCTCATTTTTGAGGGTTCTTGTGTCCCAGCAAAACCTCAAGATCCTTTCTGAGGAGCATACATCTTGCTGCGGCGCACCTTTGAACTGTTTTCAATTCAGCAGCATTTCCAATTCTCTTGAACATATATCGGCAATTCACTGGCACAACCCATGTCAAAACCTTCACATCAATTACACTGCCACAAGCCTCGAACCTCTGCGCATTGCACAAAAACGCACACCATTACCAAGTTTCCTTCGCCCCCGGCGCAAAAACCAGACTGCAATGCACCGCAAAGGTGAAAGGCTGTGTGGCTACCTTATAGTACTCCTCGAACGCTGGGCTGTCAAGCTGAAACCCTGCCCAACTTTTGTTCTCCCCCTGAGGCTTCTCCCCTTCCGGCCCATCAGTTGCCGCAGCATCAGTGCGCGGCCTTTTCCACACATTTTCGCCCTTGCCGAAATCCCTGCGAAATGCACGGCCCCGCTTTCCATCGCCACCACCACCTCCGGTGGCACCTCCATGACCGCCCCGGCTGCTGCCATTGCGCCACTTTCTACCACCGCCCCGGGCCATGGCTTCCCAAACTGATGGGGCTGCAATTGGCCAGTATTAAGAATTGAAAGCGCTCAGCAGGCTTCTGTTTGAACTTGTATTCTTCGTTGAATCAGGTTTCAGAGCTCTTCCTTTCCTGTGTGTGTGTGTGTGTGTGTGACAGTGTGTGTGTGTGTGTGTGTTAGGTTGTTCGCACCTAAGTTTCTTTTTGACGCCGTCGACGGACC